AATTTTTTTAACACAATCATCTACTTTGCAATGTTAAGAGTAGCTTAGGTAGATCAAAGAATCACCACAATAAGTTTCATTCAGGTACACCATTTTAATTAATAATTATAAGGAGATATCATAAGTTTAGTATTTTAGCTACAAAAGAAAATAGTTTTCTAATTTTAAGGAGGTAAGATACTGTACGAAAAGATAAAACCATATAAATTTTCCCATATCATCCGTTTATGAAAAGCAGGGAAAGCAAATTGCAAATATTTAAAATGTCAAACTAATGGAAGCATAAATGATGAACAACTTGTAATGCATGCAAAAAGAAGCCATGGTTTGCTGTGGGACTATGAGAAAAGAACTGAATAATTCATCAGTATAGAATAAATAAGAGTATTTCAGTGCAGGAGTTGCAAGATTGTTTATTGATCTACCTGGTACAAGTTCTTAAAACATGCATTGGATAGCACAAGCTATATATAATATATATAAAATACCTATAGCACTGAAAACGCCCATCAGGGAAGAAAATCCAAACAAATAAATACGAACACAGGAAAAAAAACTTCAGTACATTAGATAATGAAAGATAGAAACTGAAGTTGCTGTAACATGTAAGAGTGGACTATTGCAGAATACCTACAGCTACAATATTCTTACAATTATTAAGCAGTAAAAGTGACCTACTGTCATGGTCACTGAAACTTCGCATTGCTCTGTCCTCCTTCCCACTCAGAGATACAGAGAAGAGATGGTGTATATAAACTGCACAGTGTAATGAAGTCTCAAATAATTAGGCATTAATGCATCGAATACCTCCCTGAAACATCATAGTCCACAAGCAAAAAACAGCCAACATTAGTAAATTAGTTTAATTTTGAGTAGCTAGCCTGAAGAGTCCCACGTGTTGGCTTAATTCCATCTCCTTTCTCTGTATCTTTTTCATCAACAAAGTTGAACAAAACCCACTCCTCCAAAAAGGACATATCCCCTTCACAGGAATTGACAGCTGTGTCTTAGTACATGTGTGAGGTAGACTTAGGGTCATTCACTGCCATGTCTGTAGCTCAAAGAATTCCCTATTTCACCTGGTCTGGAGAGTTGCATACTCATCTCTGAGGTTCACCAAGGAACGAAGCTGGGTTCCTCTGGTATTGGTGCTAAGACAGATTTAAAAATAGGAAAAAAAACCCCGCCCAACCCACTGTTGAGTCAATTATGAAAACGTATATTTCTTACAAAGCCTTGTTAGGGGGTTTAATGGCTAACATCTTAACAGATGTTAAGTATAATTTTGGTATTTTTTCCCCTGTTTTGGAATAATCATTATTGCCCTTTTTAAAAAAAATAAGTATATTTTACCATTTTTCCTTTTGAATGTGATTTTCAAAGTGTGGGAAACAGGATGAAGTCACTGGGAGCAGAACCCAATATCCCCATAGAATCACAGTATCAGCTGGGTTGGAAAAGACCTTTAAGATCATCAAGTCCAGCTGTTCCCCAGCACTGCCAAGTCCACCACTGAACTGTGTCATAAAGTGCCTCATCTACATGGTTTGTAAACGTTTCCAGGGATGGTGATTCCAGCACTGCTCTGGGCAGCCTGTTCCAGTGCCTGACCACCCTTTTGGGGAAGAAGTTGTCCCTAATATTCAGTGTAAACCTCCCCTGGTGCAACTTGATGCCATTTCCTCTTGTCCTGTCACTTGTTCCTTGATAGCAGAGATCAGCCTCCTCCTGTCTCCAGCCTCCTTTCAGGCAGTTGTAGAGAGCCATAAAGTCCCCCCTGAGCCTTCTCTTCTCCAGACTAAACACCCCCAGTTATCTCAGCCGTTCCTCATCACACTTGTGCTCCAGGCTCTTCACCAGCTCCGTTGCCCTTCTCTGGACCTGCTCCAGCACCTCAATGTCTCTCTTGTAGTGAGGGACCCAGAACTGAACACAGGATTTGAGGTATGGCCTCACTAGTGCCCAGTACAGGGAGAAGATCACTGCCCTGGTTCTGCTGGCCACACTACTGCTGATACAGGCCAAGATGCTGTTGGCCTTCTTGGCTGCTCAGGCACAAGCTGGCCCATCAGTCAGCATCATCAGGTCCTTTTCCACTGAGCAGCTTCCCAGCCACTCTTCCCCAAGCCTGGAGAGTTCCATGGGATTGTTGTGGACCCAGTGCAGGACCTAGCACTGAGTCCTGTTGAACCTCATCCTGCTGGCCACAACCTCATCAACCATAGGAGCACTGCATCCTGAGAAGTTGTGCCTTCCTTCTCTCACAGGCGTTCTTTCAAAACTTCTGGCAGCTCTGGCAGAGGCTGCAGTTGAGGGGGACATCTGAGATCCACCGAGTGCATGAAGACACCATGACATACATTAATGCCTGGTATAGTTTAGTAATGTGAGCAGGCGTGAGTGAACCTGGGATGGAAGGCTTTTGAAAATTGTGTATCAGAGGAGGTGCTGCTTAGCATTTTTCTGATACCTGTTAGCTTAACTTTATTTTGCCTATCTGACTTCATCCTGTGTTTGCCCAGTGATTTATTATAGTCTGTTTAAATGCTTTATTCTGTAGCATCAGCTCCATTGGACGTACTACAGTGCGTATTACATGGCTGATAAGGATGGGCACAGCTAAGGTAGCATGGGGGTGATCAGGAATTAGCATGCAAGGAGGGCTGATATTGTAATAATATTCATTGTTATTAGTGCTCCTTTAATGGGTTACTCCTTCTTAGTCAAGAGACTGCAATGCAGGCTCTTTTGGACATTTTAAGATGCTTAGCCTTTTAATGTCATTGATTTTCTCCATCAGTGATTCTGCTGTTGACATTGTTCATCTAGAAAACCTGTACATACAGAAGTAAGATCCAACATACTTCACTCAAACTGTGTCTGCATCTATTCATGGTTTTACTTGGCATTATTACCTGATGCTCAGCTTAAACAGGTCAGGTTTTGCTTAAGAAAAAGGTGAAAACTTTCTCTTCTGTTTTCCTTTGAAAATGCAGATAATCTGAAAACAGTGGACATTCACAGAAGCCGTGCAAAAGAAAAGAAGTATAACAAAATCACTTTGTTCTTTAGGAGTGATTTCTGTACATTCACACCACTTGCTTATTTCTCCCTCTGCCTGGGAGGCCAAGATACTGTGACAGACCTGCAAGAGACTTCCAGGGAGTCACATGATTTTGCATGCATTTCAGCCACATCATACCCAGTCTATTGAACTTCAGGCTGTGCCCAAAGAATGGCAGTGGCAAGTGAAGAATGGTCTTTATGAGCTACAGTTTAATCATCTAGCTTGGTTGGTTTGTGATAGCCTCTCATGAGAAGGCATTATGATTCGAAAGTGTTTGCTACATCCAATTCACCCAACTAGCTTTTCCTGTCAGTTGCAATTATCTAGTATTTTAATACTGATCCTGCAGACCAGATCCTTGCAAAAATAAGACTCTTTGTTGCAGGTTTTTCTAGTGAGTCAAAGTTTTACACTGAGTTCCGAAGCTAGCACCTTCTGCAGTCTTTGTATTTTAATGACACGTTCCAGATGTTTGCTTAGAAAGAGCATACAGATTAGATGCTAAATATGCTGCTGCTAGTTGTTCAGAAAGTTGATTCTAAAGCACAGCTTAAGCCATTGAAAACTCGGTGGTAATTAACTGAATGTTTCCTTTCTGCTTGACTTAAAAAGGTCAGCCCTTCTTTCTGCTGGTTTTAACTCTTCCCAGCATTATTCTTTTATTTTCTAGATAGTGTGCCAAACACCTGGAAATACAATTTCCAGATCTGCATCATTTGGAAATCAAGCGATGAGCGTACAATAGAGTGAAAAGTTAATAAACATAAGCCATTCAGATTCTGTAGGGCAGATACTGGCAGGTAAGCTGCAAATGGATCTCAGTGCGTTGTGTGTGCAGGAGTCCTTCCACAGGAGACTGTGAGTCTTTATAGGTAATTCAGCCTTATGCCCTACAGAAACATATCACAGGAAGGAAGACTACTAGAAACTAAAAGTAATTGAAGTTCCAGCACATGACAATGCTAACAGTTTGGCTTCCCTTTTTTGTGACTGTCTCCTGCTTGTAAATTGCCAGAAGCAATATTCTTTATTTGCTTATTCCAGATGAAGGATTTGTAAAGGTAACTAATTTCATCCTCTGATTCACTTCTTGGAAATATGTTTTTTCTTTTCCTTTCCAAAAATCGTAACCTGAATTTTTCTAATTTGTCATGGTGGTTATTTTTGGGGTTGGTAAAATCATAAGTATTGTCAGCAGAACATTCCTTCTTGTACTGTTTGTAACACAATTCTGTTTTGAAGCTTGATGTAGTTCTGAAAGACTCTTACAGTCTGCTGAAATTATCTTTAAAGTGCTTTGAAATTGCTGATAACATGCATAAATCACTTTCTTTACTATCTGCTATGTATATCCTTGTGTATGCATGAGGATGTTTATACACATAAGTGCAAGTTACATTCACATCTGTATACGTAGAGACTCAGGTGCAATATTTTTTAAAACCTAGATGAGATCTATTTATTTGCGCATTTGTATATCTGTGCAATCCCTAGCATCCTTCCCCTCAACATTCGTTGGTTATTTTAAGAAAATATTATACTTGTATAGACTAATCAGTATACAATTTCACTTTACCTTCAGATGAAACAATGACATTATGACATATCCAGAGAATGACTTTCTGCATTTTGGTCAGGTTTTGGTTTTGTTTGTTTTTTTTGTTGTTTTGTTTTTTTTTGGTGTTTTTGTTGTTTGTTTCTTTGTGGGTTTTTTTGTTGTTTTTTTTTTTTTAAGTTTTTTTTTGTTGTTGTTTTTTTGGTGTTTTTTTGTTTGGGGGGGGCTTTTTTGTTGTTGTTGTTGTTTTGGGGGGGGGGGGGGTAATGCCTACCATGCAATGACAAAGGTTCTTGGTTTGGTTTGGTTTGGTTTCTTCTAGGGATTTAATGCCTACCATGCAATGACAAAGGTTTATTCTTCCTTTGTTCTTTTCAGAGTGCTGCAGCAGCTCCCAGTCCAGTGCTAGGAAACATTCCCCCAGGAGATGGCATGCCAGTAGGTCCTGTACCACCGGGTTTTTTTCAGGTATTCAGAAAAATTATGATTACAGGAATTTCAGGATAGAAAATCCTCCGTAATACTGTTTACAAGTCTGTAGAAAAGGTCCTGTTCTAAATTATGCCTTGCTACTATGGTGCAATAACTGAGATTTTTTTTTTAACAAAAGTGAATAGGTGGAAAGGAAGGGATGTCTCTGACAGACAAGTATGTAATATATGGAATAGGACAGCACAAGTTATTCAAAATTTCAAGGATAAGAAATGGTGGAGACTGAAAATGCGTTGATATAATTTTAAAATAATGTGATATGTACATTGCATTGAAATTGTAAAGTAAAATTGTTGTTGGTCATGTTTAGCCCTGTGGTAAAGCCACAGGCCAGATTTTTAAGATGTTAGATTAGAGGTAGGCAATTAAGAATTGCGTCTCCTTGCACATTGAAGATCTCAACCATAATGCCTAAAAAAACCAAGCCAAGCATTTAGACCTTGTGTTGCTTCTATTAAGTTTTGTCATAAGTGAAACTAAATACCCAGTTAGCACCTTGGACCTTGAGTACAGAATGCTGTAATGGAAAAAATAGCAGCTGTTAGTGCAAGGCCAGCCTAACAGTTGTAATCCAGAGATTAGACTGCTCTTGTGAGCGAGTTCACATAGCCTCCTACCAAAACTCGGTTGCTTTTCTTCATGCTGGTGAACTGTGGCTGTGCAGCAGGAGCAAACAGTAGCAGCATCTCTTGCACTGAAACAGCTCTTCAGGAAGAAGAGAGATTTCCACCTTACATACTTGATTTCATGATGGGAAAGAAACAACCCAGATTTGCAGGATTGTGATGTGGGGAGAATATCGTGATAAGGTGTTCTGTAACAGTAAAATGCTGAAGTCCAGGTAGAGGCCAGTATCTTTTTCCTTCTTCACAGAGATACATAGATAAAAGAAGCATGTTTCATCAGGGCAAAAAAAGGCAAGAAGATACGTTTTATTTTTTTTCTTGTTTTTGATCCCAGTTGTGATTGCATATAAATGGCAGTATATCAGAAGCCTTAATTTACACTATATGTAAGTGACAATGTTTTTTGTAGGTTTTCCTTTTCCTACAATCATAGAGGGAAAAACCGCTCCCTGCAGCATTGATACCAACAAAAAGAAACCCTGAACCTGGCATGAGCATGTTGTTTCCTTCATCAACTCAAAAACTGAGAAGTGATTTTTAATACATGAATGAAATGATATTTGCAAGTGAAGTAGAAAATATCTTACTTTTGCCAGTCAGAAAATCCTCAGGAGTTGGCAGAACTGATTAATTACTTTATTTCTCCTTTTACTGTTTTGAACAGCTGGTTGGGTAGATTTTTTTTTTACACACAATTTTATCTTAATTTTTCTATTTTAGAAATACTTCACTTTTTCTTTTTTTAACCACCCACTCCAGTTTTAGTGTCAAAGGAATTGATTTTTCTTTCTATTGTCTTTGAGGACAATCAAGAGTGGGAAGGGAACAGATAGGACAAGTATGAGAATTCCAGAGGAGAGAAGAACTGTTTTAAAGGTTTTGCAAAAGGAGGGTGTGGGAGTTTTGTTTTTAGAAGTGTGAAAAGACTTCTAGCCACTCTAGATCTTTAAAGATGATCGAAAGTTAAGTATGGGTAAATGTTCCTTGTCTGTCAGTAACTGACTTCAGTCTCACTTGAAGTCCCACCAACATCCTGCTCTTTTTGCAAGGCCTGGTATTGAAAACAAACAGAGGAAAATCCATTTTCAGGGTAATGCAGTTTGTGACGCTAGTCAGAGATATCATCAAGTAAGCAGCATGGCTAGTGAGTCTTCTGCAAGACAGGTTCCAGGATCTGGTCTGCACAGTCTAGTCTCGACTGTTCCAGAGGTCACCCTTCACCTCTCCTTGAAACTGCCACCTTGTCTCTCTGTAACATGCAGTGCTCAAGACGAGTTCTTACAGTTTTATCTGATAGAGATCAATTTTCCTCAGCTGAATGGGATTCTCAACAGGACAGATATTTTTCAAGAGGATTTTAAGGTGTTTTGCTGTAGTCATCTGCTTAAAATATACGTAAAGAAATAACATGCTGGTTAGCAAATCCAGGTTTGATAGCAGATGTGTTTATATGGTTGGGAGCAAACCCAGCTCCCAGCTGGGAGCTAACAGCAAGGGGAGCTGAGCCAAAATCCAGTCAGTTACCTAACAACGTACTGAAACTGTAAGGTGTGTTTAGAGCAAACACATACAGACAGTCCATGACAATGTGTTGTGGTGTTGGAGTGAGTGCTGTGAATAAGCAGTTAATATATCTGGTTGAAATACCTTCTGATGGAGTAAAGTCTTATCAATGTCAATTTATCGGAGGACAAGAAAATATACTGGCAGACATAGCTGTGTATGTGAACTTTGAAAGTTGAGGAGCATCATCTGCTGCCATAAAAGGTGAAACAACAAGGAAGAAAGAGAAACTCATGCCTACTTCCTTCATAGCTGCTTTCTTTCCAGTAAGCTGCTTTCTTTAACTAGTTAATCTGTTCTGTATACGCTTCTGCAATTCCTCTGATCCCAACTGCTGACAAGAATAAACCAAATCACAGAAAACACGTTCATAGTGTGAATCCCAAACTGGTTTGTGTTGGAAGGTACCTTAAAGCTCATTCAGTTCCAACCCCCTGCCATGGGCAGGGGCACCTTCCACTAGACCAGGTTGCTCCACACCCCATTCAGCCTGGCCTTGAATATTTCCAGGGATGGGTCATCCACAGCTTCTTTGGGCAACCTGTTCATCTGTCTTCATATGAATACTGGCAGATTTTAGCTTTTCCATGAACTGCTGGTCTTCTTTCACTGAAAGTTGGGGATTCAGACCTGCAAATCACTCCTAAATCACAAAAGTGAACAATTTTGGTTTTTAAGAGAAGATTACAGAAACAGTGGGAGAGCTGTTCTTATATCTACATTTAGTTCACTAGGACTTTGCACTACAAAAACATAATAACTTACCTAGTTTTTACAACCTGAAATTCATTTATAAGATCATCCTGGAATTATAAGGTTGCCTTTTGCTGCTTTCACAAAATGTTTGGATTGGCCTAGCTGAACCTGTTGACAGCTCTGTACAGTCCAGCTCTGCTGGACAATTTAAATTCATTTCATTTCTCATGAGTACTAACTCTTGGTTTTACACTGCAGCTCAATTTTAGCATGCAGCACTAATCACTAGCGGGGACATGAGCGAAATGGATGCTTTTGCTGCTGCAATTCCTGCTTATCAGACTGGTCAGGGAAGGGTGGCAACCTAGGTGTGGACTGTGCTGGGAACCAGGCAGCACTACCTGGGTTCCAGCTTTATTGACACTGCTGACCACCAGCATTATTTCTGTGACATTTCTATTTTTATAACAGAAAATATTGAATAAAATTATATACACTAGTGTAGCACATGGAGGTAGATAACTATGGGAGAGGCATGGTTTCTCCTACAGTAAAACTCCGCTGTTTGTCAAATAAGGTTTTCACCTAGGTGGAGACCACCAGCACTGATGTTAATTAGCAGTATCTGTAGCAGTTTATGCCTGGTCCACACATGTGGAGTTCTGAAGCCAGCAGCTGCATTTATCTTCTTTCTCTCTGTAATTGTATTTTTGTACTTCAATTCAGGTGATAGGTGATGATCACTGCACTGCTGGGAGTCCAAAATGGAACCCTTTGCAGTAATAAGTGAAAGGAAGGTGCTACAGTTGTGCACAACTACTGTCATTAACAAATTTTTTTTTTTTTTAGAGAATTGTTTACAGTGTCAGAAATTAAAACAAAACTTTGAAAAGTCAAGAAAGCAGGTTTATGTAGAATTAGGGTGTGTCTCAATTTCATCTAATGCTCTGCATTTTAATGTAACTTCAAATTTCATAGCTACCTCCTTTTTTTTTTTTTTTTTTTTTTTTTGTCCTCATCTTTCAGTACGTAGAATAGGTGATACTCTGGAAATAAATTGGGGTTATACAGTAACTGAATCTGCTCTTGGCTCATTAGCATCAAAACTGAATGTGTGGGACTACAGGAGAAGAGGAGATAATAGGTTATGCAAGACTCTTAAACTGCAAATAGGAGAACCCAAACAAGTTTTAGAGTTGCTTTTGTCTCAGACTGAAATAACAGGTCAACTGCAGTTCAGTGAGGGGGATGTCTGTTGGGTCAATGCTTCTGGTATGTTGCTTCCTTAAATACAGAGCCTTAGAGAAAAATAATGATTGAAAATCAATGTGAGCCTGGATGCTAAAAAATGATGTGCAGTTCATTGCTAAGGTACCCAAATTTTTCCTTGGCAACCCAAGATAAGTTGTTTTAATTCTCTTTCTTCATGTTTCTCTGCCTATTAAAATGGAATGTCATCAGTGATGATCCTTTTAAAAGATTATGAATTACTTGGGCAACAGCAGTCATAAAAATGTATTAGACTGCATAAGGGCAAAATGGCTGTATACATTTCTGAATTGATCTTCTAACTCCAGTCTGAGTCTTGAAATACATCATCAGTTTGCCAGGACCACATCCTATACATGGAGCTCAGGTGTGAGGAAAGCACTTAGCTACTATATTAATCAAATACAGTCATTTAGGACGTTTTTTCCATGCCAGTTTTTTAGCATCGGAGTTACCCTGCTGTTAGTTTTTTCATATGGCCATACAGAGAGGTCGGCATGGCCTCATCTTTGCCCTCTTTTTGTGGTCCTATCTGATACCAAAATAGTAAAGCAACTGGGGGACTGATTAAGATTATAATAATTATTTGCCTTCAAGTAAATGAGAGGATGCATATTAATGTCAGCAGCCAAAGCTTTACACATGATTCTAATAAACTCTTTGAGGTGAGTTAAATTCATCCACTTGTGATCAAAGAGGATCATAGAATTCAGGTCATAGAATTCAGACTCTTGTATTTTCACATGCCAACTTACTTCTAGTTTCTGGCCTGAGGACAGCCAGCATTTTTCACCAGGGTTGGTTCTCTACAATACAGAAGTG